GAGAGTCCTCCTTCAGACAAGGTCTTCTTGAACACTCCTCAGTTCCATGCTGAGGAAGTAGTGGGAAAATAGTGGATATATCTAAGGATACAAGGTTTGTAGTCTCTAACATTCTGATACTTTGTCTTCCTTTCATAAAAGGTGTTTTTTTTTCCTTCTGCACCCACCAAATACACTTCTCCCAAAGCAATTTCAACAATGGTACAAAAACTACTGTTTTCTTTGGTTGTAAGATCTCACATATTAAGATATCAGTTTGTAGCTTTTACTACCTAATAAATCTTTAAAGTATTCCTTCCTAATGCACTTCTGTGTAGGGCATCTCACATGTGTACTGAGTAAGTTTCTTTACATGGCTCAATGATAGTCATCCACTAATACCTCACATGCAGTATATATTCTGGTGCACATCTCCTCTTGGTTACATTGGGGTAAAGCAGCTCCATGTGAACCCTCTATTCTTTCCCTAAGAATTTAGGGATCTCTGTTGGTTTGTTTTGTCAGAGAATGTCCTCTTCTGATCCATATTCTAAAGAGTTTGGCACAAATTACATTTTTTCCATAAAAACTTCTACAAAACCTTATCCTGCTAGTACAAGAATTTATTCTTTTGTCTGATGATGGTGACAATGTTGTTGCTGAAACGTCACACACTAATAAATTATTTGGATTAGGTGTTATTTTCTTTTATTATAACATTTTTACTATTTAGCAACTCTCTGGTAAGAAGACATCTCTCCCTAAAGGACATTTTGGCTCTGCAATTAGGTGTTCTTTACAGGGAGGTTTTACTATATTTTCTAATTTTATTTTATATTTTAAAATATCTTGTCTCTCTCTCTCTCTCTCTCTCTCTCTCTCTTCTAGTAGAAGATAAACAAATATTTTCATTTTAATTAACAACAAAAAAAATGCTCATTTAGTTATTTTATTTAAAGATGTCTGTATATATATATGTTTAAATTTAATATGACAATCATTTTTTTGTGTTAATTTTGTTATCTTTTTAAAATGACATTTTGTGTTATGCATTTTTTTTTTAAATTGTTAATTTTTTTTTTATCAGAATATTTTTTTTTTTATATACGTGTATATATAATTTTAAATTCTTTTTAAAGAGTAAGGATTTTTTTTCATGAATTAAAAAAAAATGTGTGTGTGAAATTTATTTTTATATAGTGTGTTTGGCTATACTATATTCTGTAAAATTAATCTTTTAATATCGCTTTATTTATTCTTCGTTGTAAAAAAAAACTTTAAAATTGCTTTTTATTCAATATTTAAAGAGATCTAATATTAATAAGGCACAATTTGGATTATAGATTATAAACACAAGGTAATAAGACCAAATCCAAATAAATAAATAGTGTGTAACGTTTCGGTAACAGTGTTGTTACCTAAACATGACACACTATTTATTTATTTGGTCTTATTACCTTGTATGTCTAAGATCTAATATTAATCTATTGTAACATAGAAAATTAGGAAAGACAAACTTCAGGATGACACAGCAATTTATTTAAGGGGCAAGCACCAATTGATAGAAAACAAGAGAAGCAAGGAGGGAAGTTTACAGCAGAGTAATAAAATATATCAATATTCGAAACTATTATAGACGTGTATGATTCTTTTTTTTTTAATAAACAATTTCTACTGTCTTTAAAAAAAGAATCATACACGTCTATAATAGTTTCAAATTTTGATAATAGATGGCGCTCTAATGCATCATAATAAAATATATAAATATTGTAACAAAGTATTTATTATTTTATTAGCAGAGTATTATTTTTTTTATGTTTATACAGTAGAACTTGGATAATTCGAAAACCTCTTTAATTCGAATATTTATCTTGGTCCCTAGAATTTCCTATAAATAGAATTTCCGTCTTTAATTCGAATTTTTGGATAATTCGAATTTTTTTATGGTCCCTTGAGGTTCGAATTATCCAAGTTCGACTGTATTTTGCTACTCTGTATACATCCCTCTTTTGCTTATCTTTTGTTTATCACTCATAGTTTGTTCTTACCTGAAATAAATTGTTGTCTCATCCCGAAGTTGGTCTTCTCTAATTTTCTACGTGGCAATATAAAAATGAATAATCTATACTAAGAAAATAATACATTAATATTGATAAAGTACAATTTGGATTATAGATACAAGAAAATAAGACCTAATCCAAATAATTGAACATAAAACATTTTTAAAATTATTTTGTCTGATGATGGTAACAATGCTGTTGCCGAAACAACACACACTATTAAATTATTTGGATTGGGTCTTATTTTCTTTAATTGCTACAATAGAGGGGGGTCGGTGGAAGGCTGGTATAAACCGTTGGTTTTCGACCATTACAACCCGGGTTCGATTCCCGTATTGGACACTTTTTTTCTGATTTGAAAAAAAATGCTCCAATGTCCCCCTATTCTTGCAAAAGTCCAACCCCACCAGCGAGTGCAAGTAACCAAATGGGGCTCTGGCACATTTGTAAGTGCAAAGTCGAACTGCTTTTCACATGTATAGACATGTGGTGCACTTACAGTAAAAGCAGTCGCCTTCTACCCACCATGATTATCATGGCCTGTACCACGTGTACTAGGGATAAGCAAAAAAAAAACTACAATAGATTTAGAATCTCACTCTAACAGCTTTCTTATATCTATAATCCAATTTGTACCATATCATTTTTGATGGACTTCAATGGACCTAAGATGTTAGTCTTCCTATGAGCTGAAGAATTCCAAAGTGAATATCTCAATGTTGATGCTATCACTTGAAGATTTTATTTTAAAGAGATTCTTTATTACAGTTTTCTTATATATATTTTTGAGGAATATGTAAATAAGATGGATTATATGACAGCCCTTCTATGTAAATTTCTTCTTTTACCAGAAGTCAACTGGTTCTTCAGCATCTGCACCGGAGAGAGATGGAATTGAAAGTTTCTTTCATCCACCGTATAAATCCACCATAGAAATCCCATCACCTATAAATCCCCTGTAAGCAATCTAGGAATTGTCAGTTTAAAAGGATCTTTTTATTCATCTCTTGGATGCACAAATATAGCATCTCATAGTTTTATTACTTTCTTTTTTATCACAGAAAATAAAGATTGTCTTTGCAGAAATGTATTTCTGATTAAAATGTCTGAAATTTCTTACGGTAAATTTTATTCTTCAAATAGGTTTGGATGCACAAATACAGCATCTCCTAGTTTTATTACCTTCTCTTTATCACAGAATAAAATATTTTTCTGTGCAGAAACATATTTCTGATTAAAATGTCTGAAATTTTATTATTTGAATAGATTTGGATGCACAAATACAGCATCTTCTAGTTTTATTACCTTCTCTTTATCACAGAATAAAATATTTTTCTGTGCAGAAACATATTTCTGATTAAAATGTTTGAAATTTCCTCCGTTTTATTCTTCAAATAGGTTTGATTATGTTAAAGGTTCTTTCTCAATCTCAATCAATTTATAATCCCTTGTTAAATAAGGAAGATTCTTTTTTGCCTTAAAATTAACCAATCTTTCAGGAAACCTTGAGCTTATAAGTTCAGCTTTATAAAGTACCATCTTTGTAAATTTTTCTTCTTTGTATAATATTGTTGATTCAAATTAACAAAAAAAAAAAAAAACACAAAAGTTGAAAAATGTTTCATTTTCTTTAGATTTTTTTCATTCTCTACCTGTTCCTTTTCTTTTATGCCCAGAGCTTTCACTGAATACAACTAAATGATCCTTGTAGGCAAAGTGTTTACCCTTAATTTCTAGAAATTATAAATAGAGGAAACACCTCATTGTAATAGCCTCTCTTTTATAATATCAACTTGGTTTATAGCACTTTAAGTCTTAAGCTCTCTCAAGATTTAAGACTATAATTGTTCTAACTGGTTATAACAACAGCATTACGCTATAACAACCACTAAAAGAGAGGTTGTTTATAATGAGATTTGACTGTATATGTGTTGTGTGTACGTAGTTTCAATTTAAAAAAATATTTTAGCTGCACATATAAATGTTGCTTTAGAAAAAAATAGCCTCTTTCTATCTATTATTTGTGTAGTTAATTCATAGTCAATATTTAAAAAGTAGTTTTAAAAAATGTTCTTTTTTTTCTCTTGCACACTTATCATAGCATTAAAATCAGTAAGATATTTTATAACATATCTACTTTTGAATGAGTTTTTTTTTCTACTCTTTTCAGTAGAGAACTATTATTGTTAGCTGAATTAACACTCCTAATTTCTTTTTATGCTTGTTGATTTTTTTGTTTGTTTACTATTTACCCCCCATATAACCATGTTGAAAATGCTTCCCATTCCTAAAAAAAAAACCTATTATAAAGTATTATTTTGTTTATATTAAAAAAGTTTTTATCATATTTTAAAACTTTATATCAACCCCCTTTTTATTTGTACTAAAAAAAAAGAGTATATTTATTCTAATATATATAGATATATACCAATATGTATATGCAAATATATGAGTAGAGTTTATGTAATAGAGAGTGTTGTATCTACAAAATATAATTTATTATTAATTTTTTTTTTTTGCTCAATATAAAATGTATAATAAATTTATCGATGTTGGAAAATTTGTTTTGTCAATCTGTTTATTAAAAATTACACACATACACATTTTATAATCTATATTTCTTTTCACTCTGTGGTTTGTTGGACTGCAAAGATAAAGGTTTATTCAGGTTGGTGTATGGGGGATGTTGGTTTCTCCCCCACAGCTCAAGTGGTTTTACGTTAAACCTTTGAAAGAGGAACCGATTTGCCATCTCCGCCAAAGATGAATATCAAATCAAATTCTAAACTGTTTAATATATACTTGTTCAGCTTTCCAATACCAAAGGCGGCCTCCTTAGAAATTTCCAACCTGGCATCCCTAGAAAATATTTAGAAAATAAATCTGCCTGATGTCACCTAATAACTTGGACTTTCACTGCCAATACAAATAAACAAATATTTAGCCTTAGTCTGAATGCCTATGGCCATATCACATTGAAAACACCGGTTCTCGTCCGAAGTTAAGCAATGTCGGGCCCGGTCAGTACTTGGGAGGGTGACCACTGTAAATAAAGATATTATCTTTAGCCTGAATGATAATTTAGGTGTTTGGCAATATTTCATGCACACTCCAAGAATCTGAAAATCTGAATCTAAACCTTTCTAATGTGAAAAACTATTATTTACAAATTATAATTTAATAATAATAATGATTTATAAATTTTCTGAATATACACGTATATCTCAGTTTGTGTCTCTTCATACCTACTAGGGATAAAAAAGTTAAGAAAGCAAAGATATCGATGAAAATATCAATCAAATGAATAATTATTTAGGGAACGAAATGACTTTTGATGACCTACTGAAATTACAGAAGACATAATCCAAATATCATCACAATAAAAAACATCTTAACCCATTATTCTATGAAACCAAGTTACAAACAATAGAAAATCCAGATTAGAATCAAGTCAATAAAAATGGTCTTTGTTTCATGCCACCAGCCGATTGTTTATATTTATAGCCTGACGATATTGGATCTATTTTACCTTTGGAAATGTATTTCTATTGATCGTGCCTTTGAAAAAAAAAATACGATAACGGCAATTTGTGTTCAAATATACCGGCTTTAAATATACCCTATGTTTTTAGGTCACATCGATTTTAAAGGATATGCAATTATTTCTACTTATAGTCTACATATGCAGGTTGTATTTAATAACAGACATCACACACAAAACGTATAGGGAATAATTTTATTTAAAATATTTGCAAGTGAATTAAAAATTTATAGATACAAAATATATTACATCCTTTTTTTCTAGAAAATAACCTAGACCCATATCATAAGATAGTATATTTTATCTATACATAAAAAAAATTAAGGTCGATTTTAAGAATTTTATTTTTAAAAACGTATGTATGATATAAATGAAATATTTTTTATAAAATATCAACATACTATTATGGATTAACAATGAATAAAAGTATGTATCAAAAATCATCTATAAAACTCCGAGAAGGATGAAATTATTTCTAATATTTTAAATATCAGTGAAACATTCATGCAAGAATTGAATTATAAACAATAATGTTCACATTTATTATAGCATAATATATTTTTAACGTTTTTCCTCAAAATATAAAATAATACACATATATATCTCAAATATTTAATTCAATAATTATTTTTGTAAAATATAGAATGCCACTAAATAAAATATATTTCAACTTTTATATTATATATATATTATAATTGTTAATATATTCTAGATATTCATAAAACAAGTTTTTTTTTAATAAAATGACTTTAAAAATCCAAAAGCACCTTTTTAAAACATTTTAAACATAATTTTATTTATATTATTAGGATATGTATATAACAAATTATATATTATTTTTACTAAAGATCGTCATTTATAGTTTTTTAACTTTTAATTAGACACAATTTTAATTTATATTTAGACATTTTTCATTTTAATTTAGACACTTTCATTTTAATTTAGACATTTTTCATTTTAATTTAGACACATGGACTTTTCTATAAAAAGCCCATGTGTCTAAATTGAAATATTTCGTACGCTCCAGGAGTCGGGTTATGTACAGAATAATAAAAAATTGAAATGAAAAATGTCTAAATTAAAATTTAAAATGTCTAAATAAAAATGAAAGTGTCTAAATTAAAAAGAAAAATGTCTAAATATAAATTAAAATTGTCTAATTAAAAAAGTTAAAAACCTATATATCAAATATTTATAATATTAAAGCATTTATTTCTTAAATTTTCACAACAAATTATAAATATTTTATTAATTTCAAATTCCCTATAAAAACAACACATAACGAGTTCATAATTTGAAGTTGCATTTGACACAATTTTTGAGATAAGAGTTTTATGCACTTTTATTTATAAAATTAATGCTGTATACGAATATATATGCATTTAAATTTGCCAACCCATTCCTTTTTCTCCACGATATAGGTACCCCTATAGTTTTCGCCAGAAATTTTATTACCCCCCATTCCACCTAAAAATAATAATATAACGTACATTTAAACTTTACAAATTTAAAATACAAGTGCGTACATGGAATTTTCGTAACATTTAATATGAATGATTCTATTTCTGAACAGAGATAGTATGGCACAAGTCTTAAATCTACCTTTTCTAATTTTAGCAATTTTTTTTCTACGAGCGTATTTAAAGTATATCTTTTAGTTATATATTTTTTTATAGTACCAAAAACAAATATTACATTTTGAAATTGTGGTTCTAATATATGTAGATTTTTACTTGTGCTGTTTTCTTAATTCAAACTCTTAAATCGGATAATTTAAAGTTTTATAGTCCCAAATGAGAGATGCACTAAGCTCTGTGATTATTATATGCATTATATTTATATATCTTTAAAAGTACTAAAACAAACTGCAATGTTTGGCAAGCAACAATCGTAAATATTTACAGTAGAAAAGAGGTATTAACACAACAATAAATTATAGAGAATTCCTTCTTTAAACTTGATCTGATTATTTTTTCAAGATGTAATTTTAAGATTTTTCTTTTAAAGGTTTAGCTTTTGGTTCTTTATAAACAGGTATAGGATCCTCTTCACTCGGGGCATTGGCAAGGAGTTCCTGAAGCCGACTGATGAAATTATGGGCATACTGACCTTGTATGAGTGATCTGGGGTCTATGGCGGTGAGGTAGGCTGTGGTTGTGCCCTTGATCCCTGGAGCCTTTACCCCGACGTTGTATCCAGCTTCTCCCTTCTCATCACCAGTGTATTCGCCTAGTTTGATGTAGCTAGGACCGTGATCTGGTAACGGCTGGAGATAACCTCTGTATGGCTCATTTAACGGTCTCCACTCTTTGGAACTACCAATTGGCTCGTTGTTTTCCCCAGGAGGTGGGGGGAATTGAAAAGGACCTGTTTCATGGACCGGCTTGGAGTAGCCAGCGAATGGATCCACGCCATTGTAGTGGTCTTGATGGTTGGCATTATTTGGGCCTTCCTGTCCACCGCCTCCTTGCATATTTGACTTTTGGTTGTTATCCTGGTTGTTGACAACACCGAATGGATCAACGTGCTTGGGTTCTCCGAATCCCCCGTGATCCTGCTGCTCTTCTCTTGCTGGAGGGTGGATGAACCTCTCGCCATTGCCTGAATTCGGGTGGACGCCCCCGTAGTCTGGGAAGGATTGTTGCCGATATGGATTGTATTCGTTCTCAGCGTTCTCGACTGGGGGAGGGCCGTAGTCTTCCTGGCGGCGTTTCTTCAGGAAGGGGTCGACGGGTGGTGGAGGGAAGAGATTTCCCCCATCTCCGCCTGTATTCTCCTTGTAGCGATCGAAGGGCTCCCGAATAGCCGTGACTTCAAAGTATTGCTCGTTCTTTTTCTGATTCTGCTGAGGCGGAGGTTGATGTTGGTTCGGTTGATGGTACACATTGGCATTTTCATTGTGTTGATTCTGATTGTGGTTTTCGTGGAAGAATTGTTGTTGATTTTGAGGAGGAGGAGGAGGCGAGTAAGGTTGTGGCTGAGATGGAGGTTGGGCATTGTCGACTGGTGGGTTGATCGGGCTTCTTTCTTCAGGCGTCAACTCAGTGAGTCGGTAGGGCGGGCTGAAGAAGGGATCGGGGAAAGGAGGCAGTCCACCTGGGCCACTCCCACCTATGTCATTAGGCCCCGCCTCCCCACTCTGCTGCTCTCTGCGGGTGACGCTGTTGCTGGGGGGAGGGCGGAACTGGGGTGGCACGAATGGGGGCCGTCCCTCACCACCTTTCTCGCCCCCCTCCACCAGATAGAGGTCGTTGTTGACGTCGAAGAAAGCTCCCGACTTGTCGCATTCAACGTTGAACCACCAATTACAAACCCTCAGTCTCTGGTCGAAGATGGTACCGTTGGGGCACAGGAAGCAATCTTTCCTAGCGTCCAGCTGGCAATAGTGCCAGGCCTGCATACACACACAGATAGAGTGGTTAGTATATAGCCATAGGTCTTCTAGCCACCAGCCATACTGTCAGATACACCACAGCCCTTTAATTGACATAATACCGACTTCAAGAGTTGTAAGAAAAATAAATTAATTAGAAAAAGAACATATGTTGGTGAAATTGACGAGAACATGGAGAAGAATAAATTTTCAAAAGATCTCGTCCTCTTTATCAATTTATATATTGCTACATTGAGAGAACAATCTTTCTAAAAGTATTCTGATACTTCTATAAATAATTTCGTAGTAGCCTACGCCTTTTTTATTCCTTAAATACACCTTGATAAAATTTAATAAACCATTCTCACGATCTCTTAGCAATTGGATCTTTGCTGATGGAAGTTATGGGAGAGATCCTTGTGTTTATATAATTTCACAGCACATCAACTCTCAAAGACACATTGCCTTGAAGCAGATCTCTATGTTGTTGCGACATTCCACAGAACGCACACTCTTTTGGCAGCAGGAGACTTCATGTTGTTTCACCATCTCACACTGACATCATTTTGAAAGGGCCCCCCTCTGTGTTATCTCACAGAACATTGAGATTATCTGGAAGCGGCCCTCTATGTTGTTTAGCCATCTCACAGAGTACTGACACCATCTGGAATCGAGCCTGGAATTGTTGCACCATTTTACAGAACCTCGACATCTTTTGACAGCAGGCCACATCTCACATCCCCTGGCAGTGGGTCTTAATGTCGTAAAAACATCTCACATCACCCGCCAGCCGGTCTTAATGTTGTAACAACATCTCACATCCCCTGGCAGTGGGTCTTAATGTTGTAACAACATCTCACATCCCCTGGCAGTGGGTCTTAATGTTGTAACAACATCTCACATCACCCGCCAGCCGGTCTTAATGTTGTAACAACATCTCACATCCCCTGGCAGTGGGTCTTAATGTTGTAATATTCCACATCACTTGGCAGCAGGTATTGAAGCAACATATCACATCACCTGGCAGCGGGCCTCCATGTCGGCGAAGAAGCCGGGCCCGGGACACTGGAAGGCGGTGTTGGGGCAGGAGTGGAACAGCGGGTAGTCCTGCCCCGGTGTGCCGGGGATGCTGTCCGCGTCCACGTAGTCGTAGTCT